CTGTGTAGCACAGGGAAATATATACAAGATCTTGTGGTAGCTCACAGAAAAAAAGAATGCGACAATGAATGCATGTGTATGTTCATGTACAACTGAAAAATTGTGCTCTTCACTGGAATTTGACACAGCATTGTAAAATGACTATAAAACTCTATAAAGAAAAAAATAGATAAATAAGGTCCTACGGTATAGCACGGGGAACTACATTATCTATAGGTAATATCCTAATAAAAAAGAACCTGAAAATGAATATATACATGTGTATGACTGAATCACTATGCTGTACACCAGAAACCAACACAACACTGTAAATCAACTACACTTCAATAAAGAATAAAAATAAAGAAATAGAATGTCCAATGCCACTTAACAGCCAAAGACAACAGAACTGTCACAGCAGCATACTCCCCAAGTCCCACAAATTTCACCCCAAAGGGGCAGCCCCTGAGTCCTTTGAGGAACCCAGGAGGTGTTGGTCACAGAGCCCATGGGGATATTTGTCACAACTGGATTTGGAGAGCAGGGAGGGCAGGCCTCCCAGAACTCACTCATATGGCACAGGGCTGGAGATGTCATTAAATATTTGTCTTACTTAGTAAATTACAGACCAGAGACGGTCCAGGCCACACGTAAAATTAATTTGAGAGGGGAAATTGCACTTTTCTGGTCATATGCCCTGGACCTCTTCCATTCTATGCATCCACGCTGCAAGCCTGCAAGTGCATGGGGCCTTGGTTAAGACGAGGGCCAGGCTCAAGGTTAGCCAGACCCCGCCCCACCTCTGCTCGACTGATGGCACCTTAGCAACTGGAGAGGGACTCCTCCTCCCACTCAGAGGTGCGGGGCTGGTCTGCAAGAGACCTGAATGACAGCTGACCGCAGCGACCACAGCGCCAGCAGCTTCCTAGGTCCAGCACTTCCGACGTGTTGGGCGCTTGGTGGGTCATTTATCTCCATCAACTCCTTTCCCTTCCTTAACAACCGTAAGGTCAGAATTACTATCTCCACTTACAGACGAGAAAACTTTTTTTTAGCCTCTAGTTTAGGTCATTTACGTGCCCCAGGTCACACAGCTATCATATGCTGGAAATGGGATTTAAACCCAGCTCTGTTGGGCTCCAAAGCCCATTCTCTGAATTTGAGCGCGTTCTGCCTCCCAAGAAAATCAAAACGTATTTCTGTAAAAATGTAAGCATGGTGGCGGGATGCAGGAAACAGCTCTGTACTGAGAATCGTAACAGGCATTCAGGATCTGACAGTCAGTAGCTACATCACCTTGGGCATGTTATCCCAATCCTGGGCCTCAGCTGACTCTTCTGTGAAATAGAACGACAAACCTCACCTTGTTAAGCACACTGAGCAAGGCTAAGATTTCTGATGTTTTCCCAGGATTCTGTCTTCTCTTCTTCCTTTAACCATAAGAACCCTAGCCAAGAGTTTTAGAGTGCACACAGCCACCTAGCTAGAGAGGTTTCCCAGCGTCTCCTGCGGAGCAGCCACAGCACTAATTTTGGCCAATGGGGTCTGAACAGAAGTGATGGACGGCTTCCAGATTGCCCGCCCTTTACTCGTCCCCTCCCCTAGGGTGGGACAAGGATAGGGTGTTGGTCCAGCTCTAACTGTGGGGAAACAGACTATAAGACAGAAGGAACGTGGGAATCTGGGTGACTTAAAGGCTAGGGCTGCCAGGCTTAGCAATAAATAAACAAGGTGCTCAGTTATATTTGAATTTCCGATAAATAATCACTTTCTCGTACGGGTATGTCCCAAAGATTCCATGAGACGTAGTTATACCAACCACAAATGTTGCATGTGTACTAGTCACAAACATTAAATGGGATATAGTTATGCTAAAAAATGTATTGTTTATCTAAAAATTCATACTGAACTGGGTGTCATCCTGTATTTTATCTGGTGAGCGTGCATATGGCAAGTGAACTGTCTATTTACTTGGAAATCCCTCTGGGCGATTACCTAAGAGAGAAATAAACTTCGATTTTATTTGAGACACTGCATTCTGGGGGTTACTTTGTTACAACAGCCTAATCTATACCTTTATTTATTACATATATATACA